CCGATACGCTAATAACGCCCAAACAGAATGTTACTAATACGCTATATCTATTTGTTTAATCGAAAGTTTGAATGTTGTGTAGCACAAAGAGTAATAATAGTGAGCTATTTACTAATCCCTCAAGTAAACATCTGACATCATTGTGAAATCTATATTTAGCGTTGTAGAAGCTACATATAAGGACATTAAGGCATAGACAGTTAAATTTTTAACAGTGGTAGAGCCCGCTTTAATATCTTCGCACTATTGGGCCGGCTCACCCGGTGTAATAACACGATCACACAGAAGACAGGCGTAAGTGGAAGTAATTCCGCGTTTCGCCTGATGAGTGTGCGTGCCGGAGGCCTAATTTTATTCCCTTTCCTTTCCCACCATTTTCTTATAAGAAAACGATGGGAAGGGAAAGTGGATTTGACGGTGGAGAAGACGCATAGGAAGGGGAAATATCCTTTTTATGTGCGTCTACTTCTTTGTTGATTAAATGTAGGCAACGCATCTGCAATCACGCATCTGCAATTACGGATGTATATGGGCAGCGATCTCTTCACTTTCTTGACTAATTTAGGTGGCCGCTTGCTCGTTTGCCACCTTATATTATAAAAAAAGATAATGTTATTGTCTAGGAAACACAGATGATAAATTTATGTTACCAGAAAGAATTTGTTTCTGTTCTCACGTTTCTACAATAATAAGGATACCAGAACTACGTCTTTCTAACCGTCATCTTAAAAGTCTCTCCTTTTTAACTCTCTAATTCTTTTCACAAAATCTAACTATTTTTACCTATCACCTACAGTTCTTTAACATTTGTATATATATCTAGCCTCTTAATTCTGTCTACAACTTTACTTTTAAGCGGTAAGAAGTAGTTAGTTAATATTTAATTATAAAGCCCTAATGCAACGCTCTCGCTTGTCCTTAACTTTCGTATTTGTCTTTCGTTTGACGAATTCCATTAAAAGCGCCCAACACAGTACATACTTATTTATTATTAAAATACCTGCGCCAACACTGAGTTTGCTTAGGAAGTAGTTTTATTAAATCGGAGAAGCGACTCTTGTTACTGTGGCATTTTTTATTACATTTTTGTCAATATCAAACATCGTAATAGAGATGTCGTATTTGGTTTCATTTAAGTCAAAAGTGTTTTCCACTTTGTTCTATAGTTACTTCTTGAAATATAAAAGGAACACATCACCAGCTCACTACACGCCTCTACCGAGGGGCTAGGAGCCTACTCCAATAAAATGTGACCAGGCCATAGTCAACCACACTGGCACAATGCGTGTTGGTTGACTTCACACATATCTTCTGAATTTCTTCGCCGATATATGCAGGTTGCGTCGCAAAAAAGAACAAATAGCAACATTTAGATTTAAAAATTGATCATAAGCCATCCGTGTTTGTTTATTTAAATACACGCTTCGCTTATTATAATCTACACACCTTAAAATAGCGTACCAAAACAAACATGTGTTTAAATTATGATTACTTTGCAACTACACTATGAAAAGGTTATTTATAATACGAGTATACAGTTTCATTGCGCAAAAACATGTACTTTTGTATATTAAATGAAAAATAAACACGCGGTATGGGATCTAGAATTTTCGCATTTTAAATCATGGTTTTAAAAACATTTAAAAACAAATGATTTACTACGTTTATAAATATTTTCGCGATATATTCTTTGATAGAGATGAATAAATCATTAAACAAATTGAGTACCAAAAACAGTAGCGTAATAATTTCGGTAAAAATGTTCATTTTTACGTTTTCCCTTAGTCCATAACTGTCCCGCGTGTAATAGATCTGCAATTTCTAAGGAATCTCGTTCATCCCGTCCTCAAAGGAATTCATTCAATGAAAGATGCCGAAAGCTGACGGCAAAAGACCAGGTAAAAATTACTAGAGACATTAATGCTAAGATGTTCGGTAACGAATGCTAACTTTTTTTATTATTATATGTAGTATCTTGGTCTGATTTAAAATAAACCAATTTTTATACGCGACGTGAAATGTTATGGGAACAAGAAGTCTGGATGTGAAATTTTTCTATTATAAATAGTATGTGTGTAATAGTTTTTCATTTTATAACAGTATCCGCTATTATAATAATAAAAGAAATAGTCCTTTTAACCCTAACAATTTGGATAGGCTTATGTAATACACAATGTTTATTATCGGCCCGAAATGATTTTTAATTTTTGAACGATTAAAGTCTCTATAAAACAATAATTTTGAGTACTAGCAACATTTCAAAATTGTATTGAATTGGTATTATTTGAGATTTGGAGCGGGCAACCTCGAATCTTTGCAATGCGGTTAATTAGTGTTGTGCAATTTTCACTGAAGATTGAAGTACGGTGTTTCTGATATTACGTGATTTTTATTTTATTATTTCTGACATACGCAGGCCCACAATGTAGGTTAAGTTACCGTATCTTTAATCTACTTTGGGAATTAAATTCAGCAAGCCGCTCGTCACTATGACATACTCATAACTTAAGACCAAAGTCCATGTTGAAATAGTACCTGAACTTAACTGAAATACGTGCACATGAAACTTAACGGACTCTGAGAAGCGTAGGTTACAGCATAGACTCTACCGGCTTAGATTGCATTTATCGATTTTGAATTAAGTTTCACTTAGTCGAAGTGCTGCACATATAGTTCAAAGGAAGTAAGCACTCGCTCTATCATTCTATTTGAATTCACGATAGACTTTAAAGAATATTACGTTGTAAATGTTATCCTCTATCCAGAATAAAAATCCTTGCCTTATTGCTGGAAAATATGGAACTAATTCCTTTGCCTACTTTTGAAAGTAATGTAGATAACGGTTAAATTATGTTTTTGGGTTTTTAATCATTCCATACCTGGAAATAAGTAAATTATAATTCTTTTTTTAATTGTAATAGATATCTGCAAATGCAAATTAGTCGGAAACCTTCAGCCTTTTTTGCAACTCGTACAGTTTACGATGTATGTAATTTAAAAACACTTATTGGTGTGTTTTAATACGTTAAGGAACATCTGTTAGGTCAAACGTTGTCTTTGGTTATATTGTTATACTTGTTGCTTCAAATTCCTATAATTATAACCTATTTCCATAATTCGCAATGACGTCACGCCTTTGTCCGGCCTTGGAAAGTTTATTTGCTCACCGGTAGGTGTCGGTAATGTTGATAAAAAGCGGCCATTTGTCTTCGCGTACAGAAAATTCGCGGCTATGAAATCCACCAATGTATCTTTTTTATTACTTTAATTGTTTTGTTTTTATATTCAGCGGTTTTTATCCCACGCGTAAAAGCCTTTGCTACTTAATAATTTTACGGTACATGCTACATAGAGACTGGATTTAAAAAATAAAATTACTCAGTTTTCATCTAACATTTTTATCACATTTAATGTACGGTCTTAGTTGCCAGTACACAACCCAACCTCTAATGGAATACAAATTCCTTTGCTAATTCCCAAAGAGGTCGTATACGTCAAACTTTGTTAAACAGAAATAACCAGATCGCGAAATAGAGATAGAAAAGGTCTTATTTTAGCAGTACTGTTAATAGTAAATTAAAAAACTATGAACAATAATAGTGGCATGCTGTATGCAGGACATTCTTGTAAAGGTAAAACTTGCCTAGTAATAATAATAACTATTTCAACAAGCAAAATTCGTTTCGATAAATTCTATATCAATGAATGATCATATAACACTTGCCAATAAACAAATCTGCAATTCTTCTCTTCTAATACGAGTCAAAGTATTTGGGTAAATGTTAAAACAATGGTATAATAATGACGATACAACACAAAGAATCGAACGAACTCGTAAATCCTATTATAGCAGCAATAATTACGTTTCAAGTGGATGGCACGAGCACTTTTTTCTGCGAGTACCTTTTCAAACCGGCGTAGAAACGCTTTGTTTACCCTCTTAAAGATGAGAGCCATTTGCTAAGGAACTAAATACATTGTTTTTATACCTTACTGGGCATTTCTTGAGTAAATGGATGTTATGAATGCAATATTAAAAAGACATTCTAACTGCCACACTCAGAGACGTTAAAGGAGCCCACTTAGTGTAGATTTGTATGAGAAATAGCCTTAGGGCGTTGTTAAATGTCAGCATATGTATTACAAAAACCATCAGCTGTTCGGAAACAGCTGACTGTCTAAGCACTTCGTATAACTTTTTTCAAGTGATTGATACAGAAACCTTACAATGTTCATTGCCTTGTTAGCGATGAATCAGCTTTTGGGTGTTTTTTCATCCCCACTTGCCTTGCACACGTGCTGAGTTTTTTATAGCACCGACACTGTAATGAAGCGTACATTCGGAAACCGGCGCGCCCTGCTGCCCAGGATATCCTGTTTGAAAATAAAAGACAACCCCTACACCTTTCCAGTGACACGAACTTGTAATACAAGCGGTTTACAACTTTAACATGAATAGAGTAAGTTTAATTTTGTGTGTTCGGTTTTAGGGGAACGTTTATAAAGCGATGTCTGCTCGGTAAAACGTAAAACGGGTTGTTAATTTCATTATTTCTCTGGAAGAGAATATTTATTTTATAGAATTGGGCCGAGTTATTTTAAATTTGTTTTTACTCTATGATTTTAAGCTCAAAGAACAAAATCTAATCAAGACTAAAAAAATAATCTAGATCAACTAAAAACACATAATCCAAACTACGTAGGTACTAATATGGATTAGGCCGAAACCTTCTGTTTTGTTTCGAAGTCTAGAAGTCGATAAAAACTATAGTCAAATCTAATAAGCATGTCATACTTCAAATGAAGAGGTCATTGTAACAAAATATACCATTATCATAATTAAATTTTAAATAATTATCTACCCCCATTGGTATAATAACAATTACATTCCGTCCTTATAAACACATGCAACCCATGGTTTCCTCCATTCGATCCCTTCCCCTACCTTCCCCGTATTCAAAATCGTTCACCGCCGGCTTACGAAACTCGTTCACCGTCTATGCGAGTCAGTTCAGTTGAGCGCTGGCCGCCATAGAAGTGATTGTGTTTACGCGCATGCGCTGTGCGACATAACCTTAAATGAACTGTCATATTTACGCACGTAAATAAACAAGTGAATTAAATTGTTTAGTGCAATAATTACAAGTTAGCGTTTTATATTTTTGTATTACACATTTCATGAATATTCCCAAGGAATGGTGACATTTCAGTGAAAAAAACTTGTGCAAGGAATTCGCGATTGTGAGTGAGTATTTCGTTTGTTTTTTTTTTCGTACACCGGCCAGACTTTGGCTTTGATTTATTTTTTGAACATCTAATTGCAAAACCTTCGTAATAATGTAGAAATGTTCATTTTATACCATACCCGCATTGAATTGTAATGTGTTTTATTCAGTAATTTGTTAAATTAACCAAAAACAAGGAAACATTGCACGAATTATTTTGTGCTTTTGCAACTGTTATTTAGGTTATGTATAAAATAAGAGGTTTTAAAAAATGTCTGCATTGGAATATGACATATATTGAGTTTCTGTTAAAGTAGATCTATTTAGTAAAAGTGGATTTAAAGCAGAATTTTTTGTTTTATACGTTTATAAAAAAAACTAACATGGTGCATTTTTATTGAAATTTTAATTTGATTGTTCGTAATAATTAACAATATACTATTGGGTAATTTTAGAATACAATAGATTTTTTTACTAAACAAAACGCAGATTGAGGCTAATCATTAAAATGGCAACACTTTTTACGTATATAATCTGTGAGTCTTCACGGTAGAGATTAGAGATGAATGATGAATGGATTAAATCTTTAAATTTGCTAATCAGTTGATACCCAACTTCATCTAATTGTAGGAAATATTCCACATTAATTAATAATTACCTACTCTTATTTAATTATGAATTCAATATCGACTTTTTATTACGGAAGATTATGGTCGAATGCACTTTAATTGGACTATAGAGCTCTCACAAGCACCAATAATTATTCAGCCGGCTACGCCTGCGAATCTAACAGCACCTGTGTTTTTCATTCGGTCGCATAATTAAAGTAACAGTATCAGCTAGTTAAAACGAATAGATGCATCTTAAACGCTATGTGAATACGCTATTGTATACTTGAGATTTAAGTAAAGGGTTATTTATAGCAAACGTTATTTTAAATTATTTGATCTCAACTCTGCACTAACGTTAATCTTTTTGTTTTTTTTTTTTTTAATAAGGGAAACATGCAATCTAGCAAACTGCTTTTTGAGATCAACATCGTCGTTAAAACTCGTCAACACTTCGTTACTAACAGAAGTGTTGCCACTTAAAATAGTAGAATAAAGAATAATGTAAAGATATAATGAAATGGGAATACGTATAAAACTCAGACAAAAAGGCAAACTGTTTATTTGTTTAAGGAAGATATCTTTAAAAACATGCAAAAAGTTTTGTGCAATTCTCAATGGTGTGAAGGTCGAAAATAATAGCGGTTATGTTCGAACAAAAGTGTTATAAGCAGGTAAACAAGCCTCGGATACTTGTCGCGCCCTCCAGATAAGCTAAATACTGACTTCCTGCTGACTATGGTGACCATGAGTTTGTATAGAAATCCTATGAAAGGACCTATTAAGATATGTAACTTTTGTCGTTGGATGGGTTGATATGTGTTAAACACTCGATGTTCGTACGTGGCTTATTTCTACATTTCTTATTTCATAGCCATTTTTTGTATGGTGGTGAGAGATCTTCATAAAATATCTTGCCTTCTGGGGAATAGACAGGGCCCTATGAGACTTAACTTACTAGAACAACTTCGTTGGCCATCCTAAACTGCGAATAAAGAGTCCTGGATCTCTGCACCAGGACTACGCATTAGGCTTAGAACTCAGAACTCACCTCTACTACAGTAACTTAAGGCCACACCTTGTTGCATTCTTTCCGGGATACAGTTCATACCTAATTCAAGAAAAAAAATCAGTACTGCGTTGGAGGATTGGCGCAACACTAGATTATTGGCATATTCCCGTTCCTATTTGACATCTGTCAATGTCATTTAGAAGTATTGGAATAGCGTGCCATTCTGGCGGGAGGTACTGGCCTGCCGCCACCTTAAAATGCCTATATACAATTATTAATATATGAGTCATAGAAGTGTGCAAAAACCTTACGTGATTCTATTATCACAAGTTAACGAGCTTGTCAGTTGTTAGATGCTTGAAGTGAATATATCTTACTATCAAGGAAAAAACAGTCTGAAAGCAAATTATGAACCCGGCAAAACATTTATACTTTGCGAGATAAATAATTTTATCGCATTGCGGAAAATATAAAGACTATTGTTTTTAAAGAATAGATTTTTTTTTTAGAAATATCATTTTTATAACTCGTTTAACTGCTATTTTTCCGCAGTAGATTTCTAATATAACGTATATTACTACTAACTTAATACTTTAGATAATAGGTTGAAAAAAGGGGCGAACGTAAGTTTTGAACTATTAAACTTCACGCGAGCGAAGTCGTGGGCAACAGCTAGTTAGTTATAATAATGTCTCACGAAAGTTTAAAGAAATTAATATCACTTTTGCAAAAAACAAATCAATCAAATAAAGGTAATTCATTATTAAGTCTTAAGTTTTTTGTATCTGTTCGGATAAGATTTTGTGATGGGCCAAACATTTTTGAATGAAATAGAATTTGTCTAAAAATAAGTAGCGATCGGACAACGACCGAAGAGCACGTGATTACAAAAACCACATTGCTTTACTCAAGTATGTATTTACAATGAGATAAATAACATTGTAAAACAGTACTCTCCAAAAGTTCATAAATTATTGTCTCTAGAATATGCATGAAAAGAAACGTAAAAGAATATTTCATTCATAAAATTCGGCTACCTGCGAACTTCAAGTACCTGGTCGTTGCCGTGACAAATTCTTTTATCTTTTTTGTTACAATTTTATAAGTCGAAAATAATGGAAAAGATGAGTTTCATTCAAGCGTCTAACGTCTGACGTAATTTATTTACAGCTAACTTTTGCAGCGAATTCGCCTTCTTTTGCCTTTCACTTGAACAAATCTCCTTAAAATAGGTAAAGCTTAATTCGGGAAATTTGATAGTTATGCAAATGAAAGACGATGTATAAAGGCATGGCCACACTAACAGCAGTGCCGTTGACTCCGTCATTGCGGGCTCGGCCTCGACCCCCGTCGATCTAAACGCTGTATTTTTAGTTTTCATCGCATACCTAAATAGCAGAGCGAGTGACTCAGATGCCTAGTTATACACTCATACAGTTGTGAGTTCTGTGAAATTTACGATTGTCGAAACAAGAATTACGAAGTGAGTAATCTATACTATTATAATAAAGCGTAAACACACACTTCTTTGTTGCCTAAGATGTCAGCAATTAGGGCATATTTTTGAAATACTCATTTTTTAATGAAAAGCCCTACACATACGTCACGCTTTAGGCTATATATTTTCAGGCCAATAAACTGAGTCGGTAAATGTTTTGGATAAAAACCCTAATGTGGGAAAGACACAATAAGTTGCTGCCAACATCAAAGCAGCAAGGTTGCCATCGTCATGTCATTTTGACATTTTCAATTGATATTTTGACATATGTAAACAATAAAACAAAATTTACATAATTTTATGCAAACGAAGTCGCTTGGGAACAGCTAGTTTCTTCTATTTACGAGAATACACATGGTACGCTCAGTAGAGAATTCTTTAAATGTTTCCGGGTCAAATGGCGTGTATTTCAATACTGTTTTATATAGTAATTCATTAACAGGGTTATTGATTACTTATGAAGTAATTTAAATTAGATTTTGCTGACACATACTAACAATATCCACATTCTTAATCTTAAAGAACGTGCGTTAATTGAAATATTGTTGTAGTTCGTCATCTAAATTATGAGATAAGCTTATACTGGCGTCCAGCCAACTTTTATATGACAAAATTTGATAAATGAGAAAAAAGTTCGGTATTTTAATCGTTATCAACTATTGATTGATTACTTATGTTGTACTCAATTGTGACAAATAAAGTTTGTAGAACAGATCGGAACGAATTACGAATAGTGTTGTCTCAATTCAATTTTGTTTTATGGTTACTAGCAGTAGATAGCATCTGATGAATTTACGCAGTGTTCGAGAGGCCCTATAGTGTACGAGAATTGGCGAAATAAATTCTTGAATATAGGATAGTATATCAACTTAATCTACTATAGACATTGTCATTAATTTTTCGTTTTACTTTACGTCGTTAAATATAAAGTAACTCAGTATGTAGAGTGAAACAAATTCATTGATTCACAGACACGCGATAAACATTACCCTCCTTTTACCGTGCGGAGATTAGTTCAACTTTCTGTTGTTATTTTTAATTTAAAAGCGCATAGAGTACTCTCACTAAGAGCGGGCGCACAACTTTGACTAAATCATCGCATTGTGCGATTGTCGACTGTTTCGCAGCCTGTGTTTAGTCGCAGAACTAAAAATCGAGTAGTGCGCGCATCATATAATCAATAGGAATCAACCGTGTGCGCACGCTCTAAATAATATGTATTTTGTCATTCGAAGAGAGTAAAAATCACACATTATGATCGACTTTGACTTTATTGAATTTGGTATTTCGTTCAAATCAATAAATACACTTATAAGTGTGCAAGTTATTTCAATGAAAGAAAAGAAAATTCAACAAATATACTGTTACCATAAATTTACATTTAATAATATGTTTTTTGACATTGCATAATCGATATTTTATTTGAAAAAAAAAATCGAAGAAAGACTACTCACATAAAAGTGCTCTTGAGATTGAAGCGTTTTGTCTGAAGATATTGAAGGTTTATTGACTCGTCTCAAAAGAATCTCCAAACATTTTCTTCAAATATACAATTGCTTTTTCTACCTAGCGATTATAATGGCGATTTTATAAAGTTATTTTACCAAAGAAACATTGGTATATAAAAATAGTCAATTAACAAGTAAGCTGAATATTCATAAGACGAGTGTGGTGCCGGAGGCCTAATTTTAGTCCCTTTCTCTATCCACCCTTTCTTAAGAGGAAAGGATGGGAAGGAAAAGTAAATTTGACGGTGGAGGAGACGCATGGGAAGGGGAAATGTCCTCTTTATGTGCGTCTCCTCCGTCAATTAAGGGTAGGCAACGCATCTGCAACTGCGGATGTTTTTGGGCAGCGGTCGATTTCCATTTCGGTGAATTCAGGTGGCCGCTTGCTCGTTTG